GCCAGCACTGGTTTCCCATCTGAAAAATACTGATGACAATTCCTGCCTCTGGGGGCCAAATGGTAGCACAGTGGCAAAATGTTGAGGCTCACCCACGTAGCAGAGTCCTGGGTTCATGTCCAGAGACCTCCCTGAGTACACTGGGGACATGCGTGCACCCCCGATCTGGGCCTAGGGTGGACTGTCGCATCATGACTGCTGGGGGTGCGTCTCTTCTCCCCTCTCTCTTTCTTGCTAATGGGAGAAATAAATAAGTAAACTTAGAAATAATAATATTCCTACAATGTAGGGGTGTTGAGAGGGTGAATTACTTCACTGAAGAGTCCTGGCTGAGGCCCTGCACATAGCCGGTGCACTGTCATTTCATTCAACCCAGTAAATGTTCACTGAGCACCCGCTGTGCACCTGCCACTTTTCCAGGCACCAGACAGGCAACGCTTTCTGTGCTCATGGGCTTACAGTCTAGCTGGGGAAGAAAGACAAGAGACGAACACAAAATAAATGTGCAATGGGGGTTTAAGCGCTGGGGTGGGGGCAGCACGTCAGAGAGAATGCCGCGGCTGTGGCTTCCTGCTTGCTCAGCGTGGTCAGCCAAAGACTCTGCTAAACGGGCCCTAAGGGAAGTGAGGCAGTGCATTACCTGGAGAAGAACATTCCAGAAGAGGCACAGTAAGTGCCCCGACCATGCGGCAGGAGTGCCCCACGCCTGTTAGAAACACCAGGGGCACCGAGCAGCAGGGCTGAAGCAGTGAGCGCCACAGGTGTGGAGGGGCAAGGAGTGGGAGGTGAGGTTGGCGTGAACAGGGGCCACATCAATAGGGCCTGGAAGGACTGTGGCTTTTACCCTGTGTGACAGGAGGCTGCTGGAGGCTTTGACTTAGATTGCAGAGATTGTTCTGGCTACTGCGGTTCTCACTGACTAGGAGGGGCAGAAGCAGATTCAGGGGAGGTCACTGGAGGCTGCTGCAGAAGTCCTGGAGAAGGACGATGGCTGGACTGGGCACAGCAGAAGCCATAGTCGGGGGTCGGACATATTCTGGACACTTTTAGAAGAGCACGCTGGCTTTGCTGATAGGATACTGACTGGTAGGACAGGCGAGAGCACAGTTGAGAAGGATGCTTGGAGGTGAGCCTGAGTGTGAACAAGGATGAACTGCTGTGCAGGGAGATGGTGAAGGTTCTGGGAGAACATGCAGGTTTGGGAGGAGGGTGCAGCGGTAGAAGCTGGGGTCCGGCATGGACGTGTTAAGGGTGAGACTCTATGAGGCATCTAAGTGAGGGAGTAAAATGGCCCACTGCCTACACCAGTCTAGAGCCCAACGGAAGGGTCCAGGAAGGAGATAGACAGCTGGACTGGAGACGCACGTGTGGACGTCAGCACACGCTGGCCCTGAGAGCAGTGAGCTGGCTTCACGGCCGACTGCTCCTCTTCCCCCTTCCCTTCAGCCCGCCCACCAGCCAGCATCTAGATGAGTTTCCAGCAGGAAACAGGATCACAAGCACTACTCAATGCTGCATGAACACATACTCCCAAGAGGATGAATGAAGCAGGGAAGTAAGAAAGGGACTGTCTCGGGACCAGCAGATGGTGTAATGGTTACGTTGCTGGACTCCCACGTAATCGACCATAGTTTGAGACCTGGACCTGGTGGCTTAAACTCACGTCTGGTGTGCGTGTGTGACCAAGATCTCAAGAGGAAAATGGAGGAGAAGGGATTGCAGCATGGCCATCCTCCCAGGGGTGTGTGTGTGTTGGGGGGTGGTTTCTCACTTTCTGTCTCTGTCTCTCTGGTGAGTGTAAGCACTCTATAGCAAAAATGTCTGAAAAAAGAAAGAAGGAAAGAAAGAAAGAGAGAGAGAGAGAGAGAAAGGGACAGTACCCAGTCCCACTGGTGCATCACGCTATTGTAGGAATTGTGCACAATGTGGAGGACGGGCTCTGGGCAGCAGCCGTGGAGCAGGCCTGCGGACGGCCCTGCCCTTGGACTTCTCCACTTTGGCACCCCGACCGAGGGCATGCTTTCCTAGCCGAGCCTGGTTTGGACAGAAACACTCCAGTTGGCAGGCACCATTTTTCTTTGTAAGTAGACAAAGGAAACTTTTCCTTGAAAGCCTCAGAAGGAAACTCAATGAGAGATGAAAATGCATTGTTGAGTAGGGATTCTCGGGCCCCAGCTGGGGTGGCTCGGAAATCCAGGACACAGTTAGGAAAGATGCTATTGGGACAGGACCCTCTTACATTTGGCTGGTGTAATAAGAAAATATCTAATAGAAATATAAAATAGAAATATAAAATAGAAATAGTACAGGAGCGGCCCTCTGGACCACTGCATCCCCAAATCTGCCAATCAGAGCCCATCTCTCCACATTCTCTAAGGATGACCTTTTCATTGCAGGCCAGAGAGGTGTGGGAACTAGATACCAGGGCCTCCTTTCTCCTCACCCCCACTTATGCTGTCTAGGACGATCCTGAGACTCCTGGGAATCTAAAATTATTCTTCTATCTGAAAGTCAGAGAGGGCTGAGGAAAGTTGGTATGACATAGTCTAAAGAACCAGAGCTGGGAGGCAGCTTCCACGTGAAGATTGCACATCCTCTCCTGCAGAACAGGGTTGAACAGAGGGTTCCCTAACGAGGCTCCCGGCCAATGGCCGCCTCTTCTTGTTGTGCCTGCACTCCGGTGCTCGGCGCAGGTCTCCAGAGTGGAGCACATGTAGGAGCGGCGGGAGACGACAATAGTAGGATTTCTGCTTCTTCCTCATGCTTTTAGATGGTTTTGTTTTAATAAGTATTTATTTCAATTAATAAATTAATAAAATTTATAGACATAAATTTATAAATATTATTGTTTATTTTAATAAGTATTTTATAATTCAGCTTATTAGTACAGGATATAAGTTACTTAAATGGTTATACTTGCTGGCGTTTTTTTTTTTTTTTTTGCCCTACAGCACGTGTGCTCACCAGAGAGAGAGAGAGAGAGAGAAAGTTAGACTACATTCCCCAGGGGACATGGTCATGCTGCAAACCCTTCTCTTTTATTTCTCCTTTTGGAATTTTAGACACAGACCCATACTCATGCCTGGCATGTTTCTCTAGCGGCTGAATTCATGACTTGAACCACGCATTTGGCCATGCGGGATCCAGCTGCCTTAACTATCACTCCACCGACTAGCACGACCCAATTGCTGTTTTTTTAATTAATGAGAGTCTCAATCTAAAGTCATTCAAAGACCCCTTGCTTTAGAGAAGAAAAACTCTGGGCTGGTAGTGAAGAGTGGCATCTTGTCAGTGCTTCCAGAATGGCTGGATGGTCCAAGAATAAAGCAGCAGCCCCTGGAGGTAGGGGTTGTGTTGTTAGATCCAGGTGCTCAGCAGAACAGCACTGAGATGGATCAGGTGCTCAAGGTTCTTCTCCCCTCACGGCCCTGAATCTACCAGATGGGAGCTTGCAGTGACAGAGTTCTCTATATGCCACTCCCGTCCAACACACACATGCACACGCACACACGCACACATACACACAACCCTGGAGAGGACCCTCCATAGCTGCTCATGCTTGGCACCAGCCTTCCAAATCAGAAGCTCCAGAGATAACTCTGCATTTGGCCTCACCTGGTCCTGCTTCTCTCTATGTATTCAGTTGTCAGAAAAGGCATGACATATTTTACTATGGAAAATGTGTTTTGACTTTTCTGATGACCCAATGCACATGTATATATTAGGACACACAAGTGTATATGCATATATTATACAGAGACGGTTATAGATGCATATGTAGCAGCAGTAGTAATTAACTTATAACATTCTTTCTCACACCTCCACAACTTCTGAAAGTAGCCAAAGTTAATTGCTTGTGGCATTATGCGTTCACATAGAAACACACAAAAATAAAGGTATTTACATATCTACAGATAAAATTTTTTTTCTTTTTAAAGCAATGAATCTATTGCAGACATTCCTCTACACCACTTTTTCTCACTTAACGGTAGGTCATAGGGGTCTCTTGAGCCAGTAGAGCTGCATCTGCTCCATTCTCTATAAGGTCTGCAGAATGTTTAATAGCGTGTGTGTATCGTAATTTAGTCAACCATTGCCCTGTTAATGGACATTTGAGTTGATTCCAATTTTTGTCATAATAATTAATGTTGTCATAAATACACACACACACACACACATACACATCATGTAAAACTGGTTCTTTTACTACTGTAAAATATCCCCAAAGTAAAACAGAGAACTTAGAGGAAATAGAATAACCCAAAATAACATAGGACCCTATTTGATTGCATTAATAATTTTTTAAAATTCAGGCTATACTGTCATATATTCAACACAGCTGACAGAGATGTGTGTGTGTGCGCGCGTGCATGTGTGTGTGCGTGCATGTGCATCCTTGCACATGCAGGGGGTAGTGCACTTTTACCCACACCCAGAATGGTCCTTGCCCTGTGGTTCACACGTGCTGGGACCCCCCCATCCTGAATCTGACTTCTCAGAAGGTCTCGCTGGGCCTCAGTGGGCAGGGGCAAAAGGGAACACTTTCCCACGTGAAACAAACCCACTTGGAAGGCTGGGGTTAGAGTATTGCTTCCCAGATTAGGACATAGTGAGGTTTCTCAAGAGCCCTTTGTCACTCCCTCCTTCATTCTCAGGCCTCTGTAGGACAGCCAACCTTCACACACGGGGTTCACTGGCCTGGGACCTGGGCATTCCAGCCTGGAACCCTGGAGCACAGAGCCCCATCAACACCCCTGGCTGCGTTCTGCAGGCTCCGAGCACAGCTGTCTGTGATGTGTCTGTGCTGCTTACTCCCTGCATGTGTCTGATCCTGCCCCTCTCTCCTGGCACCTCCTAAACTCAGTCTTTGCACACAGTAGGTTTTTAGCAATTGTTCTGTAAACAAGTAAGTAAGTCAACCGTCCTTGACCAAAGTCAGACTTCGAGGTCCAGATCCCAGGCAAGGCTGGATGCAGACCTCCAAGGTCTCCCCGTCCTACCTTCACAGCCTTTGCCCTGTTGATGAGCCCATCGTCCTGAGAACTCCCGATGAGCAGATCCACCTTCCCCCGTGGAGACCTCTGCAGTGCTCTGGCTGGGGACTCTCGGAGGTACTGGCCATCGACCACTGGACCCCAGTAGTGGAAAGGACCGCTCACGGCTAGGAGCTGCATTGGATGCAAAAGGATGCCATTATTTATATGAGTCTTTGCCCCTCCCCCCTTTTCTAATGGTCCAGGAATAATCAGCTGCATTACTTTGCTTAAGGAGGGCTCAGCTGTGGTGAACACCTGTGCTGGTTATGTATCTGGACTCTACTGGGGAAAGAGGAGAATGACCAGGAAACATGGA